CCTTACACTGTAATCTGGCTTAAGCCCTGTTACAGTCTAAAACATCTGTCTCCAAAATCTCCGAATGATCTAATTTCTAGGTCAGTTGTCTTTTCTCACCAAGTCTGACCATCTTTCCTTTTTGAAATGCTGACCTCAGCTTGAAAAACACGTTGCCCTGGACTTGTGGCCCACCCTGTGGGCTCTTTTAGTTCCACCCGCTCCACTCCCCACAAATGGAGACAAGGCTAGCCCTTGGCTTTTAGTTGTCCTTGGATTTTTTTTTCCTATATATATATATATATATTTTTATGTGGACCATTTTTTAAAAGTCTTTATTGAATCTGTTACAATATTGCTCTTGCTTTATGTTTTGGTTTTCTTGGTCAGGAGGCATGTGGGATCTTAGCACTCTCTGCAATGGGAAGTCTTAACCACTGGACCATCAGGGAAATCTCAATTTTGATTTTTGAATGTCCTCATCCACTATCCTGGGATCAAAATTTCTGATCCTAATCTCCAATCTATAACTGCCTTCTGAGCTTCAGAGTGATAACTCCAATTATTTGCTTAATACCTGGCTTACAAATTTGACTAACACTTCAAATTTAACATATTTAGCACTGAAGTCATCTTTCATCAGATATTAATTACACCTTCTGATGTACTCAGGAACATCAATGGTGGTGTCGTTTTTATTTTCAGCTCATCTCAAAACATTTAAATCATCATTTACTTTCCCCTCTCACCTACCTGTCACATGCAATCAGTTTTCATTTTTGGTACTGTCGCTCATCTCTCTCTCTCTCTCTCTTCTCTTTTTTTTGCATTTTTTTTACCATGCTAGGCAGATGCCTTCCTTAACTCATTATGTACTTTACTATAGTTGCTTTTAAACTGATCTTTCAGATTCTAGTATCTCCCCCTCAATTTACTGACAAATCAATTGACTAATATTGTCCCCTTTCTTAAAATAAATTGAGGCAACTTGCTGTTTGCCCTTGTAGCTCCACTACAAAAACTTTCTGTGGCTCCTGAGTTGGCTGACCACAAAAGACCTACAGATTTGAAATTAAGCTACTGGATTGTAAATCAAGTTTAGCTTTGTTTCAATGACAAATAAGCAGAACAAGGATAAAGCAGGTGGGAACAGAGCCTTGTTGCATTCCTAGTTCTTTAGGAAGCTGCATCTGATACTTAGTGGCTCTGAAAACCTCTGTGAAATGAAGAACTTACCTTACCAGGTCAGAGAGCCCTAGGCTCAGTGCCTTTTCAATCTTTTGGAGCTTGTCAGAGGTGTGCCAGGGGAAGTGGGGATGTTGGCAGTTAAACTATTCCACAGTGACATTGTTTTGTGTTCTTTTTCCTATTGTAGCATCAGACTTATCTGCAGTTTTAGTGGAGTGGGCCTGGGCTATTGCCCCCTGAAATACACCTAGATGCAGGATGTCAAATACGGCCTTTGCTGTGACCACTTCTCCTGCCTGTGCTAAGACAGACATTACTAATCAATCTCTTGGTTGATTAGTACACATTACTAATCAAGGCTCTTTTGTAAGCTGGGATGTGGCTCCAGAATTCTCAGCATGTGCTTCAGCCCTCTCTCTTACTAATGGTTTCATTCATTCATTCCATAAATATTAGTGTAGCAGCTCTAATGGATAGACATTATTCTAGGTGTTCCAGGTACTGCAAAGAAAAAGCCCCATGCCTTTTCTCATTGGGCTTATATTCTAGTTGAAGATCAAGGAGAAAAGTAAGCCAACAAGATAATCTGGGTTAGTCCTGAGCTCGATAGGAAACAAAAACAGGACAATGTGATTGAGAGTGACTGGGGGTAACTACTCTGGACAGAGAGTTAAAGAAGGCTGCTCTCAGAATGTGACTCTTGTTCTAAGACCTGACTGAGGAGAAGCAGGTGGTTCTGAAAAGCATTCCAGAGAGAAATTGCCTTGAGGTTGGGAGCCAGTTTGGCTAGTTCCAAGGACAAGCAGGAGGTGTGTGTGGCTGGAATAGAGTAAAGAGTGGTATGACAAAAAGGCAGGGGTTGCTGGTCTGTTTTGTTAACTGTTAACTGTTGCATTCCCAGTGTCTAGAATAGTGCTCAGCACAAAACAAATATTTATTTAATGAGTAAAAGCAGCTCTGATGTGATATAATAACAAAACCTATTAAAGACTGTTTATCCCTACCTGCATTTTCAGCCCACTATTTCCTTGCACTGTCAAATAGACTTTTTTTTTTTACCATGAATACACTGAGGACACTTTTTTCTTCCATAGTTTGCTTCCCCATATCCTTACATCCCAGACTTTTTGCAAATTTTACTATGTAACCCCAGATAGTACCATGTCTTATCTGTGAAACTTTTCCAACCAACTCAAAATAGAAAAATTTCTCCTTCTGAATTCTTCAAATACCTGTCATAGGTGTCATTTGTTAACACTCAATGTAATAAACTGAACAACATTATTACCAACTTTCTTTGTCCTGTTTCTTCCAATCACTACTGTTCTTTTTAAGATTTTTTTTTTTTTGATGTGGACCATTTATAAAGCCTTTATTGAATTTGTCACAATACTGCTTGTTTTATATTTTGAGTTTTTGGCTGTGAGGCATGTGAGATCTTACCTCCCTGACCAGGGATTGAACCTGCATCCTTTGCATTGGAAGGTGAAGTCTTAACCACTGGACTGCTAGGGAAGTCCCCATCACTACTGTTTCTGACGATGGGGTTTGTCACCTGTTTTGAAGGCTTGAACTCCTTGTGGTTGCTTTGCCCATGGTGGTTGCTGAGAGAGATTGTTTTGATGATCTCAGTATCTCCTCAGAGAAGCTAGTGTCTGTGACTGGTGAGCTGGGAGCCCCCCATTGGGTTGATGTTTTGTTTAGGCCCACGTGAGTCAGTGAACCCCTTTCTGCTCCCTTCGCAGGCAAGGGCTCTGCTGGTCCCAGGAGCAGCCAGGAGAAGGGATGGGATGAAGGATGTTGGTCACCTTGACGACTCCCTTTAGGCTATTGAAAATCATCATCACGACAAAAGTCAGTAAGTAAATTTAAAAATCTCCAATCTGTCCTCTGTACCTCAGAAAGAAAAAAAAATCTCCTTTCCTTCGATGCATCAATAACTTTACCTTCATATTCAAAGCACAGCAAGTAATTAATCTCTTGTTTGTGGGAGAACAAAGCATTGAATGAAACCCACATTTTAGATGTGAAAGAATCAAAATAAAACTGAACGAATGCAAAGCAGCAGCAGCAATTATTTACACTCCAGGAATCCAGAATTTAATAACCATGAACAGAACCTTGATAAACAGCAAGTTCTGGAAATAAAGTTTAATTATCATGCAATCTTTATCATTGGGTTGAATTAACTATCACCTGGAAACATCCTTGCAAAAACTGAAAGCTATGATGTTCAACTGGAGATACATAGGCTTTATGTATCCCTCAGAGAGAGAACTTCAAATGTGAAGCATTTATTAGTCACCTTGGTTCTATTTTTTAATCACTGCTTTAAAAATCCATCTCTTTAAATCTCTCTCTCTCTTTCTCTCACTGTTGGTTAAATGAAAGTAGCAATAAATACAATCTGCCCTGAGCAAACAGACCATACATCAATAAGTGAACACTTAGCCTAAGCTATTTTCCATGAGACCCATGAAGCATTTCTAATTGAAACTTAACAAGCTACAAGAAGCAGACACTCTAATCATCAGTTCTAGAAGGGAAATGTGAGCCTGGGTGCAGACATAGAAGCTTTTTAATTTATCTGGAAGAGAGTGTGACTGTATGCTTGCATGGTATAATTTTTTTTTAATTGCTGGAGTGTCATTGTTTGTTATTTCACATTTATTGAAAAATGTAGATGCCACATGTAACAGAATAGTAATGTCTTGTTCCGACCTGATGGCTTAATCTTACTAAACCACGATAATATATGCTGGCTAGAGTTGGGAATATTTAATAAAACACTGGAATAAATTTGTTGTGCTTACATTTTAAGGAAATTAATAGAAGCACCTTCATCTGCAAAATTTCAAGCTTTATTGATTTTAAGTTTGTATGAAACAGCAGTGCAGGGTGATAACTAGGTAAGAACAGATGTACCTCTATGAGGATCTTAGTCGTTGATCATAGGAGCAGGCGTGCCATGATGGAGGCACACCTGCTCTGCGTGCACATTTTTTTTCATTTGAGCTTCACAAGTGTCTAAGGTGGCAGGGCAGACATGACCATCTCCATTTTATAAATAAGAATCCTAAGGCTTGGAGAGACTGTCCCGCCCAAGATCGCAAAGGAGGTGGAGCCCAGAGTGTCCAGTCCCCAGTTAGTCACAGATCAGGTCTACGCACACTCACAGTGTCTCCACAATTTGTCAAAAGGGCTCTTTGGTGACCGGAAAGGCGTCATGATTCTATTTTGTCGTAGAAGGTGCTTGGGCTAAACCCCTCCTCCCTTTTCTCTTCACTGATTAGGGATCCAGAGTCCGCCCACTCCAGCTGCAGCTGCGTGCACGGTTTGTTCAGATAAATTACTTGCCAAGCCAGAGCTGAAAGCTAAAACATGTGACTATTAAAAAAACAGATGCAAAAGGACAACAGAGGTGAATGAGAACTATTCAAAGTCCAAACCTTGGCGTTTCTCTTTCTTCTGGAAGAACAACCAACAACTGTCATTAGACATTCACCGAGTCATTCTGCACGATCCAATTAAAGAACAAGTACAGGTTTGAAATGGTTAAAAGATAACCGTAAGAGGGAGATGAAAGCAAAAGTTCAAGGGAACCCATGCGTCTCCCTTGTCTTCCTCGAAGGCGTCCTAGACTGGGGCCTGCGGGAAGCGCCACTCGGGCTGCGCGCGTGGGGCGGCTCTTCACGCGAGCATCTTCCTTAGAGACCGCAATGGAAAGTCCACCTCGGGTCCTTCTCTCCCAACATTTCAAGTTCCAACCTAGCTCTCCCCACCCTGCCCTCCCAATACAATTTCCGGCCAGTTCCTAATCGACTCCAGTCTCGTCAGTCGCTCTTCTCGGCCTCGAGTAGGGAGAAAAGCAGGTGCTTTTCTTGTGGGCGCACCCGGCTCCCCCAGATCCCACGCCGAACTCGGGAAAGTTGGGGCGGCTGCCTCCCTTCCCGGGCTCGGCGGCTTCTTCCAGGAGGGGCGCGGATGCGGTGTAGAAGCTCGCAGGGAAAGTCCTGCGGCGGAAACATCCCTGGCTGCCCCTGGGCGCAGAGAGGCACAGGTGCATTTTCTCCGACGTCCGAGAGCCGCGCCCGCTGCGCCGGGCCCACGATCGCGCCCCCTGCGCGGGCTCCCGCTCGCCCTTTGCGCCCCCGTCGCCCCCGCCCTCCCCTCATCCAGGGAGGCGGGGGGAGGCGCGGGGCCACAGGTAATCATTGCCAGCGGGGCCCGCGGGGGGAAGCGGGGGAGGGCGGCGCGGCAGGGCGCGGGCATAAAGGGGCACGGCGCGGCGCCCGTGCGCCCGGCTCCCGCGCAGCATGCCCGCCCGCGCCCCGCCGTGCCGCCTGCGGGCGTTGCCTCCGCCGCCGCCGCCGCTGTGGCTGCTGCTGCTGGCCCTGGGCGGCCGCCCCCTGAGCGCCGAGCCCGGCGACGGCGCGCAGACCTGGGCCCGCTTCGCGCGCCCTCCGACCCCCGAGGCCGCGGGGCTACTCCACGACACCTTCCCCGACGGCTTCCTCTGGGCCGTGGGCAGCGCCGCCTACCAGACGGAGGGCGGCTGGCAGCAGCACGGCAAAGGCGCCTCCATCTGGGACACGTTCACCCACCGCCCCCCGGCGCCTCCAGGCGACCCCGCGGCTGCCGGCTGGCCGTCGGGCGCCCCGTCGCCGCCCCCGCCAGCCACCGGGGACGTGGCCAGCGACGGCTACAACAATGTCTTCCGAGACACGGAGGGGCTGCGCGAGCTCGGGGTTACCCATTACCGCTTCTCCATCTCCTGGGCGCGGGTGCTCCCCAATGGCAGCGCCAGCGCCCCCAACCGGGAGGGGCTGCGCTACTACCGGCGTCTGCTGGAGCGGCTGCGGGAGCTGGGCGTGCAGCCCGTGGTCACCCTGTACCACTGGGACCTGCCCCAGCGCCTGCAGGATGCCTACGGCGGCTGGGCCAACCGCGCCCTGGCCGACCACTTCAGGGATTACGCCGAGCTCTGCTTCCGCCACTTCGGCGGCCAGGTCAAGTACTGGATCACCATCGACAACCCCTACGTGGTGGCCTGGCACGGCTACGCCACCGGGCGCCTCGCCCCCGGCGTCCGGGGCAGCCCGCGACTCGGGTACCTGGTGGCGCACAACCTCCTCCTGGTGAGTGCGAGGGGGCCAGGCGGAGGGCCACGCCGGGGAGAGGGCCTCTGGAGACGCCAGGGGCAAGAGGGGTGCCAGTCAGATGAGGCTCCACTGGAGCACACCTGTGCGGTTTCCTGGGGTTCACGCCCAGGGAGGGTGGGGGGCGCTGAGCTTCTTGGGCTTCCCAGGAAATCCTGGAGTCGGGAATGGGAGGGAAACCCCGCCGTGGGCGCGCCAGGGGACTGTCTTTTTTGAGGCCATCGCCAAAAAGAAATGGGGATTCGTTTCTCCTATGAGAAATGGGAGCGCCTTTCTCGTGAGGGTAGAGGATTCCTAGAGGTGAAATAGGTCTAGAAACGGCCGCCAGAGCACGAGGAAAGAAGTTTGCTCGGAAGCCACACAGACAGCATTGCTCTCTGCTAGAATTTGTGGAGATGTCACGAGTTCAGTTTTAATCCAATAAGATCTGTCTTGCTTGTGGCACAAGTTCACACTGCAGCAAACTCGAAGATGTTAAAATCGCATCTCTTGCAGAGCAGAGGTTCAACTGTCTTTGGAAGTTCTTTCTGTGGCAGGATTGAGAACTACATCAGCCAACCTTACTTAATCAGCAGGAGTATGAAGACCCCTTGTGCAGTCGTAAACAAAGCTACCTAAGATACAGAAACTACTAAAGGGCGGTATAGATTGTGTCCTACAACAACTGTATGTCTGTGATGCTGTCTTCAATTGGAAGGATTCCTCAGGGATGAGATTATTAGCCTGACAAAATTGATTTTAACACCCTTGTGCAAAAGGCTTAATACATTTTGACAGAGGAGGAATTAATGTGCCATGATGAAGTTGTCTTCCAAAGAATTCTTTCACCGTTTTCTCCTTTACTTTACTCAAGTTTAGGTTCATCAGTTTGAGGGTTCCTTTATAACATCAGTTGTTCATACACTTCGTAGTTTTGTATCATGAGAAAATATTTTAAATGTATATGTGCAAACATTTTAATAAATAGATTTAAATGTATAACATTTGGCAAAGTATTTTGGTGACTTATGCATCTACTGGAAGACCTATTTTTAAATTTAGAATTAAGCCACATATTTTGAACAAAGTCAAGATGAAGACTTGCTTCTACACACTTTTATTCGAAGCCATAGGTAAGTGAGGCAGAACAGTTCCTGGGTCATCAAGTTGACTTACCACTCAGAGCTGCTGATTGTGTTGTAATAAGGGCTAATTAGATTGTGTGTCAACTCCAAAAAGCCCTGCTTGCTACCACAGGTCATAAAAGAATGTTGAGTTTGTTTGACCAAAACTTGTGATTTTAGTCATTCCACATTGATATTTCAGTAAGATACTTTAGAGCAGTGGTAATAAACTTGTTCAGTCTGTCAGTTCTTTTAAGGAATCAGAAGACCCAAACCGCACCTGTTCATGATTGGTGATAGAAAACAATGGAAAAAACTGGTCCCTCTTTTGAAGAAAACATAGCAAATTTCAGTTCATACCAGAAACAAGAGATTTGTGCACCAACTGAAGGACCAAATAGACCATTCCTGCAAAATTACTATTGTAGATTTAAATCATATGAGTTCTATTTTTAGAATGCATGTAATAAACTCTATGAATACAAAACTCATCAATTGTTATTATAACCACTTACCCATTCATTTCATACATAAGATAAGGAACTGGGACTGCAGGAGCTTTCTGGTACTCTGATAGATTAAATAGTCAACATGCTTTTGACTCTTGTGCCCACTTTTTGCCTTCCAATTAACTCCCCAGTTACATTTTTGTCTCCTTACCCAAAAACTTGCCAAGCACTCACCCTCCTTCCCAGTGGACTTTGTGTTCGTAAGAAATTAGTAACAAGTAGACAGTTGCTTTTGCTGACGCTGCAAATATAATTACAGTTGCTGTAAAAAATTAATTTTGCTTTCACATATCTTTGGTTCAGAGTGTAGTCATTCTTGGATCTTATGAAGAAGTAAGTTGTTATGATCAAATATGATATCTTTAATTATTTCCTATGAGATATTTTCATTCTGATGTTAATATTCTTTCTTGGTGTTTGTGTTACAGGGAGGGGATTATGGAAGTTTTGATCTTATTTGAAAAGATAAATCATATTCTCAGATTTTGGTAATGGAACATCTTGGTGATATTAATAGAACTTTTCAGCCAGGTTTCAGGTATTCCTGGTAGGGGCTACTGAGCCCTTAGCACATTTATTTACATTTGGGGATCTAATGCTGGTGAAGGATCAGTCTGGCCAGCACCCCTCTCCTCCCCCATTCCGTGTTTCCACTAATTTACAAGTAGACTAAGGAGACACCTTAGGGAGACTGGAAATTTGACGTTCTGCACCCCCACCCCCATCCCCTGGCACCAGATACGTAAGAATCATTGTCTGATGGCCTGGAGGACAGAGGCAGACCAGACTAACTGCAGGATGAATAGTGGGATGGGGAAGCTTTGCTCAGAATGGAGGTCTTCCTGTTTTTTGTGGGGTTTTGATACTGAGGTCCCCTTGATAAAAATAGCCTCTGAGACAGAGATGGAGACTGACAGAGCCAGAACTGACAGAAGGATTTCCCTGCAGAGCCCATGGAATCCAGACTGCTTTGCTCTTCCAAATATAACCCGGAAAGAAGACGTAGCTTCTTCTCTCTGGCTTGAAGAGGGACTGCTGTGCCTTCACAGCTCTAGAAAGACGGGTCTTAACGGCCCCTGAAGAACTAGTGTTAAGGCTGGTCGTTGGAGTCCAGCTCCAATGGTGCCTGTGAGTTTTTGTTCTGCCCATGGGATTCTGGGGAGGACCAGGACCAAGTTGGGACTCCCGAGGAGTCTTGCAAATGTCTGTTCAGGGAACCTGTGACAAAAAGACAACTTCTTTTTTGGGGGGCGGGGGGGATATTTATTTATTTATTTGACAGTGTTGGGTCTTAATTGCAGCACGTGGACTCTTAGTTATGGCTTGTGGGATCTAGGTCCCCAACCAGAGGTTGAACCTGGGCCCCCTGCCTTGGAAGCACAGAGTCTTAGCCTCTGGACCACAAGGAAGTCCCAAAAGACAACTTCTTTCGCTTAAAGAGGTGGGGCTGGGAGATATTACTTTGCGCATTACATACAGTGCAGACCTGACTTGTGCTGACCATCAGTGCTCCTGTCAGCTGATCTGTCCACAGCATCTGTCCAGCCGCTCTTCTCTTTCTTGACACACTTTCTTAGCTTGGCTTCCAGAACCCCACTCCTTCTCCTCTCAGCTCACTGGCAACTTCTTCCCAGTTCCCTTTGCTTATCCCTCCCTATCATGGCTCTAAATGTCGGAGTGCCGGGGGCTGCCTCCTGGGGCCTCTGCTCTAGATTCACTCCAAATGAGTTCTTTGAAGACTCTATATCCTGATGACTCCAAATTTTGGGTCTCCAACCAGAACTTGTGCCCTGAGCTCTATACTCAGAGAGAGTGTAGAACTTATCCTTTTTGATGTCAAATAGACATGTAACATTTAACATCCAAAAGCAAATTCCTGTCTTCCCCATTTCCATCATGGTAGTTTTGCTCTTTCAGTTGGTTGGACACCAAAGCTTAACTTCTTCCTTTCTTTTAAATCTTACATTCAATCCATCAACCAATCCTATAGCTCTGCTTACCTTCAAAATGTATACAGAATCCAGCCACTTCTCTCTTTATCTAAAACTCCAGGCCCAAGGCCCATCACATTCTGCCTGGATCACTGGAACAGCCTAATGACTGATGTCCTTGCTTTTGCCATTGCTCCTTGCAGTTTGCCATGGCAGATATTCCCAAGGATATCATTATATATGAACAGGATAAAGTCCCCTGTTTATTAAAATCACATTTTTTCTTTAAGAACTAGCTCACATGCTCCCTTTGGCCCTACACTCAAATGCCATCTGTTCCTTCTGTGGAACCCACAGTGCTTCTCTCTGATGCCCCCTACCGCACTTTTTCTTTCATTTAATCATTTGCTTCCCTAGCCGGGTAGTTCCTTAAGTGAGGAAAACACGTTCACTTCCTCTATCCTAAAATGCCATCTTGCCCTTGTTAAGTGCTCAGTAAGTGACTTCTGGCTATTTAACAGCCTGACTTTGCCCTTATAAACTCATGTTCCTAGGATCTGTTCTCTTCATCAATTTTCTAGCCACTTTCTTATGGGACAGGGAGTATTAAATCCTAATCAGAGAGTAAGATCAGTAACTATAATGGTGCAGAATCTGACATTTTCAGTAAAAATTTAAGGTTCATCATCACGTGTATGATTCCATTGTAGAAGTTTCCAAACAACTGAAAACTGTCTATAATCACTATGAAACATTATGACAAAGTTTTCAGAATGGGAGATGGGGGAATGCTCCTGGCTGGTTTTAGGAGAATGTATTGGAAGTGGCTTTGTTATCTGGTTGAGCTGTCCTTCCCCAAGTAATAGTGGAGGCAATTTATTTATTAGATACATGTTCGAGTTATAAGGCTATGTACTTTTGTGAAGCACTTTACCAATTTTCCACTCATTAAAATTTTTTGGTACATTGCTGGAATAATCAACTGAGTTGAATGTTAATATATTTTATAGACTACTGAATTCAATAGTGTATTTAATCAGAAATGGTTAAAATATCTCCTGAAGAGCTTGACTCACTCTTCTTTGAATATCTGATTGAACACAATGTTCTTTGAAGGTCACAGTCAAGTCCAAGAAAAAATTTAAGAATAGGAAAGAAACTAATAAAATAATTTCAAAATCAAAGTAGTATTTAACAATGTCAATTCTTTTGAGTTGAAGAGGGAATACTAAGCATTCAAATAATGTCAATGTGCATTTCTCAAGTGCAAAATAACCAAATGCATAACCGTGTTACCTGAATATAGTAGTTAGTCATGAAGTTTGCACACAGAAGTCTTCTGAGTTATCTTAATTTTTCAAACAATATGATGTTCCAAGCCAGAATTTTAAAATTAATTTGTACAAAAAGTATGTTTCTTTGTAATTATTTCAGCA